CTCTCTTGTATTTGATACAGGGTCTTATTAAGCAGCTCAGACTCATAGTGATCCTCCTGTTTTAAGCCTCCCCAGTGCTGGGATTACAGGTGTGTGCTACCATGCCCAGTCTCCGTGGCTGGCTGGTGGTGGAGCCAAGATGGCATATGGTGCCAGGGGTCAAACTAGACTATTTTCATTGGTACTGTAATTAGCTGGATTTTTTTTTTCTTACTGTTTAAGTAGGAGAGGTATCATGTACACAGTGAGCTGTTAAGGAACACCATCCTCTGGAAACTTAGAAATTATGTCAGTAATTCAGAACATGATTTTATATTTTTGAGGAATCAAGTAACATTTAAAACCACAATATTTCTCCTGATTAGAACTTGCCAGCAACTTTATTTAGTGTCTGTTGTAATAATGTTAGTCTGATATAATAATGAGTTCTACTGCATGCAAATTCTAGAACAGTGCATTTCCAATTTTCCATGCAAATGAATCACCAGAGAGCCCTGCTGAAGTTAGACACTGAGTCTCTGAGAATCCCTGAGGTCTGAAGTTTCCATCCAGAGAGAACATCTTACATACCAAGCTCCAGAGTTCTGGTCTACTACATTGCATGCTCCATGTAGTGACAGAGATACTAATAGCTTGGTGCTAATTCAACATTTTCTGAATTTTAAAAAAATGCACTGTTGGTTCAGCTAATGCAAACAGGGAAGAAAAGGCTTAATACAGTAGAGGAATGAAGAACTCACCCAACTTCCTACACTGTGCAATTCATTTGGAGGGTTCCAGTACATAAGGAAATCCTACTCAAAAGTGATTATAAGAAATAATTTGCCTCAGTGTTATTTGAAGGAGTTGTAATTCTTCCTAATTCTAATCAGTCACTGCTTCACTATTAGATGAGGGGCTAAAAGCTAAGGTGAAGCTTAAAAGGTATGTGTACCCTCAGAAGTGTAGGTGCTGTTTCCTTGGACTCCTTATTTCCCATACAATATTTCATTGATTTGCTACTAATAATCATTGTCTCAGGAAATCTCTTTTTCTCTGTGATTCTCTTCTTCATTTTTATGTTTTCACTTTTTCTCTAGTCTCATATAATTCTGAGATTATTCATTAGTTTTGTGAAACTGTCAGGAGAAAGAAAGCATCTGACGGAAAGTACACACAGCAAGAGCCAAGAGTTGTGTGGAACTTTAACTATCTAAAGTGAAAGATGGTACTCTACATTTTCATTTACTGTGCGTAGGAAAAAAACCCTCCTCTCAGCCCAATAGGAAGCTCACACTACTAAGATATGAGAATAGGAACTTCTGCATAATTCCAGACCCTTAAAGGACAAACACAGATAACAAACGAGAGATGGAATAACAAACGTACCTGACAAAAAGTGATTAAATTTCCACAGGCAACCTGCAAATTCTTTCTGTGGCCATTGTCACCAAAGTTTTTTTTTTTTTTTTTTTTTTTTTTTTTAATAGGCACAGATAAAAGTTCTACAAAGAGAATAGATAGTAAATGCTTAACAGAACAGTTCAAGCAAAAAAAAAAAAAAATATGAGAACTTCTAGGTAGTAACTGTTTCCACAGATTCAGCAACTATACATCAAATGTAGTGAAAATTTATTTCCTTTTAAAAATAATTCATGATAGGGGCCGGGGGGAGAGCTCAGTGGAATAAGTGCTTGCCTGGCAAGTGCAGGGTCCTGAGTTCAATTCCTGGTACCGCAAAATAATAATAATAATAATAATAATAATAATAATAATAATAATTCAGGATAAAGCCTATATTCTGAAAAATGGCCCAGGAGACTTCCTGATCCGATCTTTGCACACTCCCTCATGAACTTTCTAACCTGCATCCTACTTTAAGTGTGCCTGGTTTATATTTCTTTCTTTACTGTGTACGGGTCTGAGATAGCTTTCCTTTTCTTATCTGCCTTGTAGAATTTTACTTATTATTCCAGATTGTACTCAGGAACTGCTTATATTGTAAGGCTTTCTACAATGACATCAAGGAGAATCGTCTATTTCTTTTACACTACTGCACCGTTTTTGCAGCTGACCCTCAAAGTGCTGTCGTAATTTTTATAGGTCTGTCTCCCTCACTGGACTGTAACTTTTTGAGCTCCATCACTAAAATGAAGCATTAGTTAACTTGTTAGCTATTTATAGAAACTTGAACACTCATTCATTGTTCTTTAGTGAATGTCCACTACTAATTCAGTGGTTATAAATAATTTAAAACTTACTAATCACTCATTTGAAATTATGTTTTGAAGTTTTTCGGATCACTACTTGAAAGTACAGGTTTCCAAGTACAATCTACTTGGGGGCCTGCCCGATAGCCCAGTCTTTTAAAGTGCTGCTTGGGCCAATGCAATCAGGCACATAGGACCGTGGTTTGAACTCCAGCTCCACAAGCCACACCAGATGGGCTTGTAAGGCAGCCTGAACTAGCAAAAATAAATAAACACATAAAATTAAATTTTAAAACATCCTTCTCTAAGTACACTCCACTAGTCTGCCCCTTAGGAAATCATTTGATTGTCATCTCTTTGTGTCTGTCCCCTACCCTCTCCAGCCCCACATACAATTTGGAAAATAACCTTTCCTGGAGCTGTATTTCTATCTTAAAGAGCCCAGCAAATAACATTTGTCTCTTTGCCCAAAGTTTAACCCCGTATTTCATTGCGAACCTTCCTCACGCCCTGTCTTCCACACACACAGTTAAAGTGTCTCTGTTTTAGTTTTGACAAGTTTCCTCACAGTGAGAATTCACTCCTTGCTATTAGCCTAGCAGCACTCAACTTGTGATTCATGCTGTCTTCCTTTGCCTTTACATAAGTCGGCTCTATCTATGGATTATAAATTTGTCAAAAGCAGGAATGCATTTCTACATGGAAAGCCAGTGCATTATAATGGGAAAGCAAAGTTTGAGCTCTGCAACTCTTACGATGTGCTGGCAAATGATCTTTCATACTATCACTGTCTTTATCTGTAAAATGAAAACCAAACTGTTAGGGATATTGTGAGAATTAAATGAGATACCAGAGCCGGTGAGATAGCTCAGTGGACTACGCTCTGACTTAGGAAAACTCAGGGACCAGAGTTTGATCCCTGGCACCACAGGCTGCACGGTCCCTGTCTCAGCACCCCCACCCCCACCCCGCACGTGCTGAGCTGGCCGCCTAGACCGGATGTGGTGGCGTGGGCAGGAGGATCACTGTGAGTCTGAGCTGCGTATTGAGCCCCTGTATCAAATACATAAATAAAATAAAATAAATGGGACAACATGTCTGGAAGCAGTGTGTAAACTGTAGTGAACTATGAAAATAAGTACATCTTTAAAATTGCTTTGTGAAAGGCACATGCTGTACCCTGTGGGGAAGGTTGCACTACGCTTCCTTACAACCTCAGGTCAGTTTGACTGGGTACATTTCCTGTAATTTTTAAACAAATAGATCCAAAGGGCCATTGCTCCTCTCTCATCCCTCACTACCCCGTCGGAGGAGATAAATGATTACAATCCAAACAGTTTCTGGCAAAGGGTTTTCAACGTTTTTCATCTGCTTCCTAATCATGACCTCTTGGAATCCTACTTCTTGCCTTAGCCACTCCCCCCAGAAGCAAGCTTTGTCAGTCATCTCTTTTTGCCCCGGCTGGCACACCTACAACACTTTATTCCTAAGCTCGACTCGCTGGCTTCCCTCTCCCGCGGGCTCCTCTTCCCCTCTGCTGGCTGGCGAGAAGAAGAACCTTTGCTGGCGTTGTCCCAAACAGATGCCGCCTCGCCCTCTCCCGCCCCTCGCAGCCCAGCCACCGCCGGCCGAGCGCTGGAGGCTGCTGCCCGCCCCGTGCGCCGCCCCCCTCCGCTGCGGCTCCAGTCCTTCCTGGCAGCCTCTGCTAAGTCCCTGCCCGCGTTCGCCCGCGCCTGGAGCCAGCAGCCTCCCCCGAGCAGTCTGCGCAGCCTTCCACCCGCCCTCCCCGCTGTTTCAGTCGCCTTTCCTCAGGCTGCTCGCTCTCCTTCCTGCAGCTCTACCCCTCGCTCCCACCGCCAGATTCTTTCCAACGCCCCCACCCTTCGCTCTGAGGCTCCCTGCGCTCTCGGAGCACCTCTCCGGAGCACCAGGGCGTACGCGTGCCCACCGTTCACTCGGCAAAGATCACCGTTTTCAGCCCGTTCCTTATGTTACGGGTCCCCAGCCAAACTCATCCCCAGCTCTCGGAGCTGGAAGGCGGGAGGCAGGCGCGGTTCGGGCCAGCACCAGGCCATAGCTAGGCGGACCCCGGCAAAGTTTTGGGCACATGGGACTTGCCACGCAAACTTGGAGAGCCCTGGCCGCCGGCCAAACCCCCAGCCTCGCACAGCAACCTGGGGGCACAACCCTCCGATTGTCCTAGCCTCGGATCTTCGGGGCTGCTCCCCCAGGATGCTGAATGTGCTCCCGCACCAGGCCCACGCTCTGCAGGCCCTGCGAAGGGCCACCGCTGAGCCCCACCCAAGCCCGTCTGGGTGTCTAGGACCCCGGGGAGCCGTAGCGGTGGAGGTGGCGGGCAGGGACCCGCGGGTGCCGCCGCCCAGCTCTGAGGCGCCGGAGCCGTGAGTGAGGGGTAATCGGGCTGCGCAGCAAGGAGCCGTCCCCTTCCGGACACCTCCGAAGCCTGTAGAAACGCCTTCTCCTTTAAGCAGCGCGCGTGCGTGCGTGTGTCGGCCGGGTGTGCTCCTGTGTGTTGGGTCCAGGGCGTGCGAGTGTGTATGTGTGTGCGCGTGTGTGCGCGTGCACGCCGCCCCGGGCCGGCGGCCGGGCGGATCCCGGGGGCGGAGCTATGTAGATCGCGGATGAACGTTCTGGAGGGGCGGCGGGGAGCCGCGGAGGAGCCGGGGCGAGGGATCGAGGGGCGGCGGAGGCCCTGCCCGCGGGAGCTGGGGGCGGCGGCGGAGTAGGCGGCGGCGGCCGAGGAGGAGGCGGAGGCGGAGGAGGCGGCGGCGGCGGGAAGGAGGAGGCGGAGGCGGCGGCGGCTGCGGCTGCGACTCGGGGCTGGGTGTCGGACCCGCGGGTGAACTTGGGCGCCGCGTTCCGGGTGACGGAGCCCCAGGATGAGGAGCGCCAGCCGCCGCTCTTGACCCTGCCTCCGCCGCTCCGGGGGCTGCCGAGCTCGCCCCATCTCTTCCCTGCCCGGCCGCGGGTGAACCTGCGGGCTCCCGACCCAGCCGGAGGACTTTTTGTGAAAGGAAACGAGGGAGGGAGGGAGAGGGGAAGAGGGAGAGAAGGCAGGGAGCTCGTCCATCCATTGAAGCACAGTTCACTATGATCTTACTCGCATTCAGCACTGGAAGACGGTTGGATTTCGTGCATCATTCGGGGGTGTTTTTCTTGCAAACCTTGCTTTGGATTGTATGTGCTACAGTCTGCGGAACGGAGCAGTATTTCAATGTGGAGGTAAGAGTCCACGGCTCCCTTCCTCCCCCCTTGCCCGGGCTGCTCTCTGATCCTTTCCTTCGTTCTTCGGATCCCGGCAGCTCAGTGCTGCTGCCGAGTCTCAGCACACGGTTTTTCTCCCAACCCCGGAAGCCCTGCATGAGTTTTCCTGTGTCTTAGGTGATGGATGCATGTGCGACCAAGAATCCGTTATCCCCAGCAGCACAAAGCACGACGCTGCGCGCCCCGAGACGCGTTCGTGGCCGGTCCCTGCTTCTGCCCAGGGAGAAGGCGAAGCCCTGCATATGGCAAACGTGTAGCTTAGTGAGGCGGCGTGAGTTTAGGATGCATGAACCGCTCAAGGAAGGCAGAACTGATTGCCTGGCATCCATCGGGAGCTGCCTTGGTATTGTTCCCGAAATCTTTCTCCCTGTGGTTGGTGCCTAACAAAGGAGGGGAAAAAATCAAAGAATCTGGAGGAGAGCGTGGGAATACTTGATATGTTTAATAACATTGCTTTGTGATAAAACACTCGCGTAGACAGGCTTTTTCTCACTTAGACATAACTTAATACCCAGTAACTAGATCTAGCTACTCAGAGGACATGAAATCCATCTCCTTTTAAGTATCTTCTCTCTCCCTCCCCCGCCAATCGAAAATAAACGTGGTCCCATGCAATAGTTCTAGGATGTGTTTTTCGTGTTATTTCACACTCTCATGGCAAGACTGAGAGGGCCCACAGTGTCATTTGTTTTACTGTGATAGCTTTGGGAACAGACAGCACAAAACAAAAGGGAACTTGAGGATAAGGACTTGTCAGACCTCTGCCAAAGTACTCTTCCTGTCATCAACTCAGTACTAAAGCTAGTGATGTGCCCTAAGTCATTGTAATACACCTGGGCTGTGACCCTAGTTTGTTACCTGTAAGGTGGGACACAAAGACAGAGGGTCTCTCGAAAATCACTCCCTTTGATAAAAGATCTAATGACTTTTAATTTCCCAAGGCAACAAGTCAGTCTCAGGAATGAGGTGACTTTTCCCTATATTGTTGGTGTGATAAGCTTCCTGTCATTTTGTTCCAAGTCTGTGTTTACACAATAGCAAGACCTGTTGCACAGTATTTGAACAGTCTTGGAGCATGCTTCATGTAACCGATTTATATACAAAGTGTGCATAATGAAGGCCATGTGTGGAGGCACAGTCTGAATAAAACTGTGTTTATATAAACTGCTCTTAGGACTCCATATAATAAGCGATGGTAGAGAAACAAAATATTTGAAAAAGTAAGAACCATTGTCAAATGAATGAAGTAAGTTTGCAGGTGTGAAGTATGAATATACTACGTGAAAGCCTCAATTTGAAAACGGAAACAGTTTCAAATGTCTTGAACAAGACATTTTTGTCTTTCTCCATAAAAAGGGAAGTGGAAAAGGGCTGAAAGTCCAGACTTTTTTGGATGGCAAATTTGAACTTTTGGAATTACATGCCACAGATGGGTTTTGTACCTAACATTTAAATCAAGAGATAATTTAACGTCGAAATGAAATAATTAGTTCATAGGCTGCAGGAATGAAAATGGCAAGCTGTTATTTATAATGTTATAAACAGAAGGGCCTATTGCTTCGACTGGTGGTGCCAGAGCAGAAGGTGGTGAATTGGGGCATGGGACTTTGTGAAAAGTAAGTGCCAGACTGTGTCTTCTCACCATGGGAAGGGAAGAAGAGAGTGGGCCGAGGCTAGCTGCTTTGAGGAAGTCTTTGATGTGTCTTCAGAGGTTGGAATAACAGTGTTTTCATGCTTACTGGGTTTCTTTATGAGAATCAACATAAATTAGGCTGAAGTTCTTTAGATTTGACCCCTGTCAGTCAGCTCAATTAAATAATGTGCAAAAAAAAGTTACAGTATTGCTACACATGATTTCATTTTGGATTCCAGTGATCTCTTTCTTCAGGTGTATATGAAAATTTGCTTCACAGAGGAGGGTTTTTTCCTTAGTGTTACAGTATCTTCCATTTGTAGTTATTGTACAGTGCAAAGGCGCAGGTACAACAGATAAAAGTCTTGTGCCCTCTGAGACCTGGAAGATCTTACTTGATACAAAGGCAATTTTCTAATTATTCAGAATAGATTCTGTTTCATAGTTTGGGTTATTCCCAAATAGAATTTTTTAGTTCCTGAGTACTTCCTTGGGTAGGTTTATAAGCTTCTTTATGTGTAATAACTTGTATTTTTATATGAATAACATATGAAACCAAACTGCTAGTAAATCAAAATACTGTAGAGCAGAGAATGACAGGATATTTTCTGACATGCATTTGTGCTTGGTTCAGTTTTCTTAGACTTTTTTTTTTTGGTAGGAAACACTAATGGTCTTCGAAGAATATTGCATTTCTTCCTCTCCAGAAGAGGCATTTGCATTGTGGTCCTCATTCTTGCTTGCAGAATACACACACTGAGAATGCCTTATTTGATTGATTCTCAAGGACAATCTTAAAATAAACAGTAATGGTATCCATCAGGCATGAAGCTCGTATGCTCATGATTTTTTTCTAGTAAGCACACCAAGATATTATAGTTGGAATAAAGCTTCAAAGAGATAGTTTTTATGTGGACAACTAAGATTATGTTTTTTCATCACTCACCAATTTGTGGTAACCCTATACTTTTTATTCCTATAAGTTAAAATTTAGAGACTTGCATCTTTTTCCCCATAAGTACTTGTTAGATACAAGTATTACTGTTCATTCTTCTATGAATTTTAAGATAATAAATATTTGGAAATTTCTTATCATAATGGGACAAAAACCTTGATATATTTATGAAACCTTCTTAAAGAGAAAGAAGGCATTGGGTTTTGTTTTTTAAAACAAAAAGGAGCATCTCTTCCAACAAGCCAGGGTTAGATACTTTCAAGAGCAGTATTATGGAAGGAAGTCAATATATTTATGTAGCTACATTTTAGGTAAAATATTCTTTAAATGTTAAATTTTTAGTGTATATTCAACTAGATAAAGTTTTTACATTATCATTAGACCCTTTTTGGGAGTAGGTCCTTTGGTACATAATAATTAGCATAATCCAAAACAATTACATTGCTAGTATTAAGTTAAAAAGCATTCCCATTGGGCAGCAGATTGAATCCAAGATTCTCATTGGTCAAAAGCATTTAAATTATTAATAGAGAATTATGATTTAATCTCTACTAAAATCACTTCAGTTCTAAATTATTACTCATACCAGTGATGTTGATGATTCTGGGGCTCTTTTTTTGGTGCCCTAAAAACATTTTTTTCATGAATTTTGAGATACACATTCCTAATAGTCCTAGCTCATTAACTTTGACAGTTTGTCAAATTCTAAATGTTGCAACAACATATTCAACATTTGTTTTACAGTAAGGAAAGTGTAAGTTTATAGTAAGGAAAACATTAAAACTACTTTAATGGCACTACAAATATGTAAAACTCTGATATAGCAAAGCTTAAGAAAACTATTATGCATTTGTGACACAATAATCTTTTTTTTTGTGGCACTAGGGATCAAACTCAGGACCTCAAGCACTTATTCCACTGAGTTATTTCCCCAGCCCACCATAATCTTGATGAAGCAAATTTTTCTCTCATTTGTAACTGAAGAGAGGCAGTCTAGATTCCAAATGTATGGTTCATGAAAAATATAATAAATTATGAGTGTTACAAATTCCTAAATTTTTCGTGAAGTATTTTTGTATAACTTGCTTAGGATTTATTTACCTTGTCAGCTTTGTCTGAATCTAACAAAAAGTCAAAGTTTGCTTGGGATGACATTGTAGTTCATATAAATTTGGCGATAGCTGGTCATGAAACATTGCAGGCATACACACAAACACACACACATACACACATGCACACACACACAAACACACAGCAAACTTTAAGATGTCCAGTGTTGTGACACTTGCATTCTTTTTCATTTTGTTCTCTATTTTCTTAAATAATGAAGGTACATTATTTCATTAGCTCTTGGAAGGAAAGTGACAAGCACACCTTCTAGATTCAGGGACGATCCTGGCCACATGCCATGATTTTCCACTGTAGCATCTTACCACTTATCAAGAGTAAGTCCTGTAGGACTGATTCATAAAAGGTTTTAGCTGCTGCAAGATTGCAGACAAAACAAGAAATCTCAAATATACTGGCCTTGTCAGATGCCCTTAAAGGCCAAATGATGGTGAGAACTCCAGGAGGCCAGATAGTCCTAAGTTTCTTCAGCTTCCCATGCATACCCCCTTGGGTTCTGCCTTTTTCTAGTGAGAGTTGCTAAGATAGATATTTGCTCAAATCTAGAGCTACTCAGGAAATCCTTGCAGTTATTGAGCAGGAGAATAGCAAAGAAGCACACAGATTTGGAACTAAATGGCCTGAGATCTAATCTTATCCCTTTAGGTTGCAATTTATTAGTTTCTGTGAGCATCAATTTACGTAACTGTGAGATGGTCATACTAAGAGTATTTATCAAGTTATTTCAATGACGAAGTGAATATATTTATATATATATATATATATATATATATATATATATCATACATATACATGTACGTTGTGTATTATACATTGTTAATATTCATACAACTGGAGTATGTATTTACATAAAGACAATATGTTTTAGATGCCACAGTTATTAATAGAAAATAAGTTATGATGCAGATGTAACTGCCATGATAACATTTAATTACATAAAAATCCATCCAGTCAGAACATAGCAGCTGGACTAGAAATATTTTATATAAATATGCTATCCTATTTTAAAGAAATGTAATGTGCTAAAATTAATCAAGCTAACATCAGTGCATTTTCTTCCTGTGGAATTTTTGTAGACAGTTCAGTTCAGGAATGTGATTGTCACATTTTGTCTTGTCATCTGTTAGTATCATAGAATATCAAGTTCAGCTCATATCTTCTACGAGGCTCAGTTCACTGAAATCTGTTGATCTTTTCTGATACCATAAAAATAGGACTTTATGACTCTGAGGACCTACTTAT